CTTCATCCGACTTCTGCAGGTTCTTCATGGTCACAATGAAGACTAAGTTATGGGGCTCATCAGTGATGGACACCCTGTTCTTATCCAGCAGGGTGTCACTGCGAGTCTCTGTGCTGCAGGACAATGTCTTATCCCGTTTACACCAGGATTTCACACTCTTTTTATACTGCTGATCATAGAAACACGGGATGTTGATGGTTCTTCCTACTGATCCTCTTAATGTCTGCTTGGAACTTCTTACAGGGACGATGGCTACAAGAAAAACAACTAACCTGTCAGTAATGGAAAACTAATTATATACTTAGACAGATAGATAACCATGTGGCTACTGCTGATATCTAGAACCTGGCCTGTCTTCTCAGCCTGCTTATGGATTGTGGTCTATATTTGGTAAATATTGTATCTTACATTGTTTCTCAGATTGGCCAGTATATTGACCCACAATTCTTGGATTTCCATTTTTTGCCTGTTAGGCCAGATTACAATCTATTAAACTCACTGAATTTGCTTTGGAATCTCAGACAAGATAATGTCAGTTTCACTGTCTTTTACCCACGTTCTTCAGTATAATAACAAGTTAATGTTGCATTTATTATCCACAGCCCTGTAATAGATAACTATGATCTGCTGAAACAGCAGGATCTGATTAACATTCCAGATAATGACAAATAAAAGCTCACAGATCAGCCGATGTTATACAATCTACATCTACACAGTCATAATACCTCTGCAGTCAAACACGGTCCTTTCTACAGTATTGTAAGTGATAATATTCACTATGGGTGGAATAACTCCAATCACCATCAGCTGAACTTAATTAACTCGCCTAAGCAGCCAACCGTTGGACAACTCAAATACGCAGACTTTTTCATCTTTTCTCTGCATGCCCCCCCCCCCCAAAAAACAAAACAAAATCAAATACAAAATACTTGCCACCATTTTGGTGTTGTTTGGATCATTTAAACATAAAGCGGAAAAAAGCACCAATCCTTACCTGGTAGCACCATGAAAACAAAGAGGAGGAGGAGAGGAGGCATGTCTGGGGTGTCGATTGCAGCCTTTAGCTGTATCTATTTCTATCCATCTACAGTAAGCTGTCTGTCCTCATTCTGAATGTGTCATTAAAGAGGGGGCCTCGCAGAGAGGGAAGGAAGGAGGTCACACATACGCATGTGTAAACAGACACGGCATCAAGTGGGGCATTAAATAATTATTTGAATAGCCTCTAACAAGCGTTTCTCCCAACTTCAAAACTCTTTCTCTAAACTTTAAATACAGCAGCGCAACAATATCACACAATGAGCCAAACAGTTAATATTCTGCTCAAAACCAAATTTTGTTAAATACTAACTCTTCATTTCAAAGTGCAAAATACCTTTCTCAAGATGCCGAAATTTCATCCAAACACAGCAAACACAACTCAAAATCAAATCATTCTTTCAAAACACCTGAACATATTTTCTGTCCAAGAGAAACATGTAGTCAGTCATAACACAATGACTAACAGCTGATGGCATAACAAAAACTCTATTACTTTTCATGGTGTCAGATGGTGGTATAGGAATTATTAGCTCAAGTGAATTTTATATTCTCCACCAATATGTTTTAAATTAATTAAATTTTAATAATTATTATTTAATGCTAATCATTAACCCAATTGTTATGCCGAATGGTCGGCTCCTCCAAACTCAATTGCGGTATCCCTGTGAGTCTGTTAATGTG